AGTAAAATTTATTGATTCATTTACTTTGAGTGTCTTGAATGTTGCTTGCCTACAAGTTTTCTTACAGGTTTTTGCGAATTTTTGAAAGTTACAAGTTTTCTTACGATTTTTGCTCACAGGATTTTTTAACCACTTTTTAACATCTATTTCCGCTTTTAGGTTTTTACTGGCAGAGTATCCTCGTATTTTACAATACTTTTGTGATAACGCATATGTATTACTTCTTATTTACATTTTTTTTTTATTTGCCATATTGTATGTCTCATTCTTTACATTTTTAAATTTGTCATATTTTATAGCAAATTTTTTTGCTTGAAGCTTTTCGTAGATTTTTTGAGTATTAGTTTCTGAAATTTTAAGTGTTAATTGATTTTTAAGACAATTGGGTATCCAGAAGAAAGATGACCTAAAGAGATCTTGATAATAACTATAATTGAAGAAACTACTACCACAGTAGTAACCGAAGAGACCGAAGTGTGGATCCCAATAGATAGAAAACCAGTACCAGTAATGAACCGCTATAGAGCAATGGGGGGCCAGGTCAGAATCCAATTATGGGAAAACTGGAAAGTGTTCATTTTCATAGGTATAGTGGCTGCCGCAGTTGTGGGGGGACTGATGATATGCGAGGCTGAGCAAGCCAGGGGGCAAAAGGAAAACAGAGAAAGAAAAAAATAAATAAAATAAAAAAATAAATAAAAATAAATGAAGCCATGGTAAGATCCAAAAGGGATGTGGGACAATTGGGAACAAAACAAGATAAGTGCTTAAAGGAATTTGGGGGAATAACGTTCAACTATGTTAAGGGCTCGACCACATTATTCACCTTCGACCTATGAGATGTAATAGATTGCGGGGGACAAGATAATCAGTGGAGAGGTTATGACGTGTACTTGTGGGAGGAAAAGTCACTGTGGTAGAGGCCTGAGGGGGTTCATTTCAAAAGAATGCGGTAAAAAAGTAGGCAAATATACGGGACTCCATTGGACACCAGACATGAGTTATATAGAAAGTAATGAGAAGGAATGGTGGAGAAAGAAAGTACAATTCCAGAGAGATTCTGAATCCACAAAAAACCCTTTAACGTTGTCGTTGCATGATAAAGATGTACAACCAGGAAAACATCTATGGGTACAGTTAGGAGTAGAAGTAAGTGGAAAAGACCCATGGGGATTGATAAAATTAGTTTATTTGGAAACGCCAAAACAACCAGAAAAGCCAGTTGTTGTACCAATAAGAGACCACACCAAAGAAATTGCAGGGAGTAAGGTGATGATGGAAATGGATTATACTAAAATGACACCTGAGGACATTATGGGAAAAATATGGGGATTCAAATTTATGGTTAGAATGGATGGCTGCCACAGCCAGAGAAATGCAAATGGAAATTTGTGTAGCTTGCGCCAAAGCTAGACCAACTATTAAAATTGCACCAGCTCCTCTAATCAAAACCGATAAAATAGGCTATGATTGTATGATGTCTATTATTTGGAAAGCAAAACCGAAAGGATGTGACACTTTATCCAAAATCTTCCCAGTAATTAACAATCAAACAAAGATGGAGGCCTTCTCAGCAGAATCAGGAAATTTTACATGCTTTAATTTCAGTGCTTACAACCCAAGAGTTAGAGTGGGACATATAATCTTTCAAGGTGTAATGAAGCAGTGCAGAATGCGGAAAACAGTATATGACCATGGGCTCGTGGTGGATTGTATTATAGCTATGGGGACAGAAGATTATTTGTAAGAATAGAAGGAGGAATCACTGCGAGAACATGCGCGATGGATAGACTAGCAGCGCCACTAGCATTAATAGGGATAAGGCATGAAGAACAAAAAGGTAGATCAGAAAAGAGCAGCAGGAAATTTTGACTTGACCCTGAATTCTCCCACGTACATAGATGCAATCGGAGTTCCCGGAGGAGTACCAGATGAATACAAGTTAGCAGATCAAATAAAAGCAGGTTTCGAGAATGTTCCCATTCTTGCGGCACTCTTCCCAGTAACTCCAAATAAAAATGTTGACAGGATAAATTATGTTCATTATAATGTTATGAGATTAGCTAATTTAACTAGAGATGCCATAGGGACTTGCAGAACAGCTTGCGCCGACTTCCCTGATGGTTATCCAGAATAGGATAGCATTGGATATGCTCCTCGCAGAAAAAGGAGGAGTTTGTGCAATGATCAAAGGTTATTGTTGTACATTCATTCCCAATAACACTGCCCCGGATGGATCTGTAACACGAGCATTAGAGGGACTAAAAGTCCTGTCCAAAACAATGGCAGAGCAATCTGGTATCAACAACCCCTTAGATGACTGGTTGACAAACACATTTGGCAAATATAAAGTGATGATTACCTCAATTTAATTTCTGTCGCTACCTTTATAGCTATAATAGTGACCTGTGGATGTTGTATCCCATGCAAATGGGGATCCACATGCTATCCAAATTTATTTTGTCTTATTTAAAAATTATTTCTTTAACGATGAATGAGAGCATAAACAGATGTGTTTTAGATTCATAATTTCATTTTTAAACAAACAACTATCCAAATTTCAGAAATAACATTTGTTGATAGATATAATAATTTAATGACTGAAAGATTAAAATTTGGTCTAAAGCAATGATAATTGAGGAAGACTTGATTGTTACGGTCGGTGGTTAAAGTGTTTTGTTTTTCCTTTATACATTTCTTGCTAAAATGTGTGAGTGTCTTGGAGTCTTTTGCTCTTTCTCTCTCTCACACACACATCTTCTGGTGCGCATTCTCGCATATTTTTGCTCTCTCGCTTACGCGCTCTTGAGAAGCACTTTCTCTCTTTCTTGCTCTTGGTTTTGTCACAAAGGCCCTTTGTCGGCTCCCGATTAGGACATATTTAAAAATAAATGAATAAATAAAATAAAAAATGCCAACGAGAAGAAGAGTGAAGATAAAAACTAAGACTTGTGGACCAGCCAGAGAAGCAGTTTTTTCATCTGAGATCTTTAGTTGCATTTTTTGGACAGAGTAAATTATGCTCCGGTTAGTTAGAGTGATCCAGCTGACCGTGCCTAGCGCCGGACCTTCCATCGGGTCACTGTTTGTTGTTTTAGTTTGTTATTTTAGTTTTTTATTTTTGGAGGCACCCCGGGGGGGAGACTCTGTCTCCTAACTGGTAACCCTCCGAAGACTAGGAAGGTTGTATTTAGTGTTGTGGATAGGAAGTTAGGTCCGGAGTGTTGTTTTCTTTATTCTTACTTATTATAAAACATTTTATTTACTAAATGGCAACGTTGTTTAAGACAACTGTAAAGATGATATGTTTAATGTGGCTTAACTTTATGATATCTCAGTTTCTGGGACGTTACTCAAGAGAGATCTTAAAGCATGTTTACTGGCTGGTCTTCAAAATTAAAATAATGTTGCTGTGGATTCCAACGCTGTTGGCATAACTCTTGCCTCAGTTGATTCTAGCGTTAATCCTGTCTCATTGATTGATGAGTAAACTGAATGCAAGGAAGTAAAATATTTCGATCTAGGATGCATGAATGTTTGTTTTATTTGTATGAAAGGAACTTATTCCATAGTCAGAGAGACTGTGATGCCTGTGTGCAAGGTGGACCTGGAATGGAGATACTTTCAAATCGTTTATTGGGGTGTTGGCAGATGGACTGTGGGTTGTTCTTGGGCGGGTGTGGTTGTGTTGTCCTCGGGGGGTGCTCCGTGTTTGGGCTCGGCATAGTAGATCGTGCTGGGATCCATGTTAGTAAGGGAAGGAAGAGAAAAATAAGATTTTTCAAAAATACTTGTAAACTGTGTTTTGAATGCTATCAAACATGATTTGTTTTAAACTTAATAACGAATCGCATATTTTATATACTTTTAAAGATGATTTTTTTATGAAACTTGAACATTATCAATATACTCTTAAATCAATGTGATGTGTTTGAAAAATAACTAGTTAGTTGTTCGGTGTAACTGTCTCGATGGTCTATGTGGTGACTGTTAGAAATGTTATGAAGTGTGACCTCTTTCAGAGGTCAAGAGAGGGATTTGTGGGAAAATTTAATTAACTTTCTATGATATCTTGTGAAGATAATGAGAATGAATGGTTTTATTATACATGGCCTCGGAAAAGGGAAAGAGGACTGCTTTGACTCCCCTTTTCTTCCTAGGCAGGAAGAGATAAGGATATTCTTCCAGAATATTCTAGTTTTGTTTCAAAGAGAATGCGTCAGGGGTTATTAACGATTCAGGAAAAAATCTGAATCTAGTGGATCAGTATCTTGTTGTCGTGTATAAAAAGTATTAAAAGTCACTTCCCTGACCGGGAATCGAACACCGGAAGCGGCGGTGAGAGCGGCGAATCCTGTCCACTAGACCATCAGGGACACAACCCTCATTGTTTTTTGGCCATTTTTTTTTGCCATTTTTAAATGCTATCACATTTGATCATATTGATTTGGACACACAACCTTCTGATCTGGAGTCAGACACGCTACCGTTGCGCCATAAGGTCTTATATGAGGATTTCTGGAAGAAGGCTCATAACGATCCAGAAGAAAATCAGAATCTAGTGGATTAGTATCTTCTTGTTGTGTATCAAAAATATTAAAAGGAAGTTCCCTGACCGGGAATCAAACCCGGGCCTCAGCGGTGAGAGCGCAGAATCCTGACCACTAGACCATCAGGGACACACAATACTTATTGTTTTTTTGGCTATCATTTTTTTTGCCATTTTTAAATGATATTACTTTTTTATAATACTTCCTGGCAATTTCCAGTAATGCTGTTTTGATTATCTAGAAGAGCAAAACTCAAATCATGCTAATTTTAGAAAACTTTTTAAAATTAAAGTTTATTGCTCTCCCATGATCTGGTATCAGAAGCGCTACCGTTGCGCTACAAGGTCTTATATGAGGATTTTTGGAAGAAGGCTCATAACGATCCAGAAAAAAATCAGAATCTAGTGGATCAGAATCTTGTTATCGTGTATCAAAAATATTAAAAGGAACTTCCCTGACTGGGAATCGAATCCTGACCACTAGACCTTCAGGGACACACAATCCTCATTGTTTTTTACGCCATCATTTTTTTTTTGCCATTTTTAAATGCTATTACTTTTTGATCATAATTCCTGGCAATTTCAAGTAATGCCGTTTTGATTGTCTAGAAGAGCAAAACTCAAATCATGCTAATTTTAGAAAACTTTTTAAAAATTAAAGTTTATTGCTCTCCCACGATCTGGAGTCAGAAGCGCTACCGTTGCGCCACAAGGTCTTATATGAGGATTTTTGGAAGAAGGCACATAACGATCCAGAAAAAAATCTGAATCTAGTGGATCAGTAGCTTTTTGTCGTGTATCAAATTTTTTAAAAGGACCTTCCCTGAACGGTAATCGAACCTGGGCCGCAGCGGTGAGAGCGCCGAATCCTGACCACTAGACCATCAGGGACACACATACCTCAATGTTTTTTGGCCTTTTTTTGTCATTTTTAAATGCTATCACTTTTTGATCATAATTCCAGGCAATTTCCAGTAATGCCGTTTTGATTATCTAGAAGAGCAAAACTCAAAACATAATAATTTTTGAAAACTTTTTAAAATTAAAGTTTATTGCTCTCCCATGATCTGGTATCAGAAGCGCTACTGTTGCGCTACAAGGTCTTATATGAGGATTTTTGGAAGAAGGCTCATAACGATCCAGAAACAAATCAGAATCTAGTGGATCAGTATCATGTTGTTGTGTATCAAAAATATTAAAAGGAACTTCCCTGACCGGGAATCGAATCCTGACCACTAGACCTTCAGGTACACACAACCCTCATTGTTTTTTGGCCATCATTTTTTTTGCCATTTTTAAATGCTATCACTTTTTTATCATACTTCCTGGCAATATCCAGTAATGCCGTTTTGATTATCTAGAAGAGCAAAACTCAAATCATGCAAATTTTTGTAAAACTTTTAAAAATTAAAGTTTATTGCTCTCCTATGATCTGGTACCAGAAGCGCTACTGTTGCGCTACAAGGTCTTATATGAGGATTTTTGGAAGAAGGCTCATAACGATCCAGAAAAAAATCAGAATCTAGTGGATCAGTATCTTGTTGTCGTGTATCAAAAATATTAAAAGTAACTTCCCTGTTCAAAAAATCAAATAATTTTTGATTATCTAGAAGAGCAAAACTCAAATTATATTACTTTTAGAAAACTTTTTAGTATTAAAGTTTTCTGAACTCCCAGCATTGACTTTGATGTGACTTGAACACACAACCTTCTGATCTGGAGTCAGACGCACTACCGTTGCTCCACAAGGTCTTATTATGAAATTTTGTTGAAGAAGGCTCATAACGATCCAGAAACAAATCTGAATCTAGTAAATCAGTATCTTGTGTTCCTCTATAAAAAATATTAAAAGTCACTTCCCTGACCGGGACCCCCGTGGGGACCCGGGTAGAATAGGTCCCTAGCACCCCCTTGCTGATCGTAAAAGGCGACAAATGGGGCAACTTGTTGGCCGTGAGTTGCGACTTGTGTCAGATGAGGAAGAGATCATGGTGCTTGAGAATTCCGGTATGCAACACATCACTTCGGGTCCTACTTCACTCAGACAAGAGGTTGGAAAGGCCCATTCCAATCAATCGGCTAGTCAGGACCTGCCCTGGAACAAATTTGGAAACTCAATCAACCAAATAACTCTCATTCTTTCCAAAAGGCGCTGGCGTAGGGTCAATTGAGTAGTATAAACATAGTTTATATGCTCAAGTATATCATCACTGTATCCTTGATGTACATCCAGTGGATGTCCGTGGCTCTGTACATCCCCTAGTAGGGCTCCAAGGAGGGTGAGGAGCAGAGATGATGAACAAAACTACACTAAAACATGGCAAAAAACCAAAACCCCAAAAAACGAATATTGGACCAAGACTTGGAAACAGAATCTCTGACTGATTTCATCTTTTCAACTGAAAACGAAAACTGGCAAAGATTTATCTTACTAGAATCACTGACCGATGACATACCACTTACCAAACTGTCTCCGTTTGCAATTCATAAAGGAATCACAGGAATTGCAGGAACAGTAAAAGACATCAAAAAGTTGCGTTCAGGACAAATACTGGTAGAATGTGCTAGAAAAGCAAATTCAACAAACCTATTACAAGCAACTACTTTGGCCGGAATCAATATAAAAACCTTCCCCCACCCTTCACTAAACAATTGCAAAGGTGTAATCCGTACCAGAGAACTCTATGATATGGATGAAGCCGTAATCACATCAGAACTACAACAACTAGGCGTAATTGATGTCAAAAGAATGACAATTAAAAAGGATGGACAAATCATCAAAACAGGAACATACATCTTGACTTTCAATAGACCTCAACTCCCAGAGAAAATTAAACTTGGATACCTAAGCGTCACCGTGGACATTTTCATCCCAAATCCACTGAGATGCTTTAAATGCCAAAAATTCGGACACGGATCTTCAGGATGCAAAAATAAAGCTACCTGCCAAAATTGTGGAGAAGAGGAACATGACACAAACTGCACCAAAGCTCCTAAATGCAAAAACTGCCTTGGAGAGCATGCAGCATCATCCAAAAATTGCCCCATCTGGCTCAAAGAAAAAGAAATACAAAAAAATCAAACATACAAAGACAGTAAGCTACCTCGAAGCCCGAAAAACAGTTGAAGGACTCCCGCCTTCAACCTGAGCAAAACCTATTCTGCTGCTCTCAAACCAAAGATGCAATCAACCAGCTGTCAAACAGATTTAACTTGGATATCTAAAGATAAACCCCAAACCATAAATAACACCAAAAACCCAATCCCTCAAAAAACCAAGAATATATCCATACAAACTAGTCAGACACAAGACCCCCATCTGGAACAAAGGGAATCAAAAGTGAAAAAGAAACCTCAAAGTACAATAACTCTTCAACCAAACCAAGATAAAAACCGAACCCAAAAAAACGAAAATCCAAAAGACATTGAAATGACTGAGACTCAGACTAATCGTAGCCGTAGCCTCTCACCTAAATGTAAAAATAAAGGACCTATCCCTATTTTTCCTACTTGAAAGTCATCAACCACATCATACAGTGGAACTGCCGAGGACTAAAAACAAATTTTACAGAATTACAACACTTAACCACTGAATTTAATCCTCTTGCTTGTTGTATTCAGGAGACCCATCTATCTCCAAATGATAATTTGACTTTTAAAGGTTTTAAAGTTTTTAGCAAATGCGGACCAAATCTACAACGGCCCTCTGGGGGTTCAGCCATTTTAGCAAAAAAAGATATAATACACAGCCAAATTACTCTGAATACCAAATTACAAGCAATTGCAGTACAACTTACCCTCCACAGAACTATTACACTATGCTCAATTTATATCCCCCCACATGATGCAGTGATACCTCAAGAACTGAATAAACTCGTCTTACAATTACCAACCCCATATATCCTTATGGGTGATTTTAACAGCCAGAATACTCTATGGGGTGAAGACCGATGTGATGCCAAAGGAAGAAAAATAGAAGAATTCATAGAAAATAATGATTTATGCCTATTAAACGACGGGTCAAAAACATACCTCCATCTAGGACATGGCACCTATACTGCCATAGACCTGACCATATGCAGTGCAGACCTTATACTCGACTGTTCATGGAGAGTCTGGAACGACCTCTGCGGGAGTGATCACTTCCCAATCGTAATAACATTCTCACATACCAAAGCGCAAACTAGACCCCCAAGATGGCAACTCAAAAAAGCAAACTGGCTCACCTTTCAAACCATGTGTTGTGAAAAACTCACTCCAGCAAACCAAGAAAACCAAAACCCTATAGAATCCTTCACCCAGCAACTAATCGCAATAGCAGAAGAAACCATTCCAAAAACATCAACAAAACCTCAACGAAAGACCAATCCATGGTTCAACGAACAATGCAAAAAAGCTATTGAAGCACGGAAAAAAGCCGAACGGAACTTCAATAAACACCCATCAACTGCAAACTTTATTAAATTCAAAATCTGCAGAGCTCAAGCTCGCAGAACCATAAATGAAACAAAGAAACAAAGCTGGAATCAATTTGTCTCAAGCTTAACCTACTATTTACCCACGAAGAAGATCTGGAACATGATCCGGAAAATGAAGGGAATGGAAAACGGATCAAACATACAACACATCAAAAGACAAGGAATACTGCAGACAACGGAGATAGATATAGCGAACACACTAGCGGAAACCTTCAGAAAGAACTCATCAATAGAAAACTGCCTCCCTGATTTTCAACTATTGCGAGCACAAGAACCAATAAAACTGAATTTCAACTCAGACAACAAGGAAATATATAACCAAACCTTCAAGATGGAAGAACTAATAAACTCTCTAAAAGGATCACACGACACAGCTATTGGTCCAGACAAAATCCACTACCAATTCTTAAAGAACCTACCGTACAACTCCCGATGCCTTTTATTAGATAATTTTAACTCCGTCTGGACTTCTGGTAAAATACCAACTTCATAAAGGGAGGCAATAATAATACCTATACCCAAACCTGGAAAAGACCATTCTGATCCAAGCAACTATAGACCAATTGCACTGACTAGTTGCCTAAGCAAAACCATGGAAAGGATGATAAACAACCGGCTCATCTGGATACTAGAAAAAAACAAATAATTAACGGACTACCAGTGCGGATTCAGACGCGGTAAGAGCACATTGGATCAACTAATTCGACTGGAAACTTATATTAGAAATGGATTCATCAGGAAAGAACATGTCGTTGCTGTCTTCTTCGACTTAGAGAAAGCATACGATACAACTTGGCAACATGGAATTTTAAAAGATCTCCACCAAATGGAACTCAGAGGAAGGCTTCCCATCTTCATTTCAAATTTTCTCACCAAAAGAAACTTCAAAGTCCAAGTCGGAAACACATCATCAAATATTCACAAACAAGAACTGGGAGTCCCTCAAGGAAGCATTCTCTCAGTCACTCTCTTCAGCATCAAGATAAATAACATTGTAGAAATTATTGGACCAAACACATTCTGCAGTCTTTATGTGGATGATCTCTGCATAAGTTACAGAGGAAATAATATGAACACAATTGAAAGACATCTACAATCAAGTATCCACAAAATCAATCAGTGGGCTACAAAAAATGGTTTTAAGTTCTCCAGATCAAAAACTGTTTGTACACATTTTTGCATCCAGAGATCCCTTCACCATGACCCAGAACTTTTTATTAACGAAGAACAAATCAAA